GAAAGTACTGAAGGAAGAACCAACCCTTTCTAGCTAAAGGTTATTGAAGTGAAAATGCCCTCCAAACAATAATGTGCAACAGGAGAACTGTCATTATGATTACAGATACTCTCCCACACCAAAGAGCAACCTTAGGAAGACACAGAGAAGCCCTTTTTTTCCCTGCAGGAAGGATAAATCTGCTTTTCTTCAACTGAATTGAAAAGTATCCTTGAAAAGTATCCAGAAGATTTCGTTAGTTCAAAATGCGGAAGCCCACATAATTTTGTTTAACCCTAGATTTGTACATGTGTTCTCTCTCTTGCTGGGAGCTGCACTAGTGGCTGATTTGCTTCTGGCTCCAATTCAAGGTGCTGGTTGACACCAGTGGTGGGGTTCAAATTTTTTTACTACCGTTCTGTGGGCGGGGCTTGGTGGGCATGCCGTGGCTTGGTGGCTGTGGCAGGGGAAGGATACTGCAAAATCCCCATTCCCTTCCCACCCCACTAACCTGCTTTCCAGCTCCATTCTCCTGTGCAGGGCAACAAAAGAAGACCCAGCCGATCAGCTGGGACTCAGGAGGCAGAGAATGGATGGGGGTGGGGACAGTCAGAGGCGGTATTTGCCGGTTCTCCGAGCAACTCAAAATTTCTGCTACCGGTTCTTCAGAACTGGTCAGAACCTGCTGAATACCACCTCTGCTTGACACCTTTAAAGTCCTACATAGCTTAAGGCCAAGTTATTTGAAGGACTGACTTTTCCCAGTTGTGTCTACCAGAAGAGGGCAGGGATTGCTATGGGTTATCTCTCTTAAGAAGTTCCATCTGATGGGGCCAAGAAGGCCATTCCGCACAGCGGCCTCCCTCCCTGTGGAGCATCATCCCTGCAGAGATAAGATTGTCCCCCATCTTGGTATTTTATTTAAAAGGCTCTGAAGATATGGTTTGGTCAAATGGCCTTGATGACCCCAGGGGGATAGGGAGCCCATCAATGGCTTAACTGTTGTTGCCGGGGGGTTCATTAGATTTCTGGCTGGGGAATTGTGGGAGCTGAGGTCCACGCATCTTAAAGCTGCCAAGTTTGAGAAAGACTGATTTACACTGTGTCCTGAATATACTGTGAGAATATAAGTCATTGAGCAACTAGTAGCTCCATTCATTATGCTGTCATTAATAAGAGAGGAAAAGCTTCAAGGCATAGACGGATAAGAATATGGTTTACTAGATATGTCTGCTTTTAATGAAACAATTTTGACTTAATGCTGAGAAGATTAAAAAACAACAACTCCTTGAGTTTCTATAAAATAACCAGAAGGCTGTCCAGGATTTTAAGTTGAAGTGCCCAATTTCCATCATTAAATACCCTCCAGAAATGTAACTAAGAACTGTCCCACTGGGGAGAAGCCATGAGAAGGCTTCCTTCGAAACCATAGTGCAAAACTAAGATTAGATTCTTCTTGGACATGGCTTTGAAAACCTGAACATTCTACAGGCCTTGTTGAACCCTGGAAAGTTGTGGGGTTTTTTTGGGGGGGGGGGTGCATTTATTTTCTCTGGCTGTTTATGATTTTACCTTTTATTTTTTTTGTTCTGTATTTTTAAATTTTATATTTCATGTATTACCTGCCTCTTAATGACAAAGAATCTGAAAGTGTGTATCGCACAGGACATACACTATGAAAATAATACAGATGTTTTCCCCCTCCAAGGGGCAGGGAGGTAGAAGTCATGTAATATCCTATACCTGGTGGCATGACATAGTATGTTATCAATAGTGTGTGTATGTGCACGCATGCGCGCGCACACACACACTTACACACACAGTATTGGATAGCAACTTTTCAAAAGTGCAAGCCATCCAGACCCACCTAGAGTTGGACAACCTCTAAATTTTGTAACATAAAAACAGAATTAAAACATTCATTTTATACATTTAACAACAGATCATTTACATTTATCAATCCAATTTATATGGTTGCCCATCATCTTCATTTAACAACCCCAAAGCTCTATAGACAGCTAGTTGACGATAGATAACTTGCCAAAATCAGGGTTTTGTGATACAGGGAATCCTCACCTTAACCACCATTCATTTAGTGACTGTTTAAAGTTGCAGTGGCACTGAAAAAAAGTGGCTTACAATGACCATCGCAGCATCCAAATGGTCACGTGATCAAAATCCGTGCAGTTGGCAAGCAGCATGTATTTACTGCTGACTGCACCATCTCAGGTCATGAGATCATCATTTGCGATCTTCCCAGCCAGCTTCTGACAAGCAAAACCAATGGGAGAATGTGTATTTGCTTAATGACCACGTGATTAACACGTTCTCTGATTCCCTTAACAACGATGGCAAAAAAGGAAAACCAGGGGAAGTCATTTAACAACCACCTTGCTTAGCAGTGGAAATTTTTATTCCAAATGTGACCATACATTAAGCATAACTTGTATCTCAGCTACTGTACATTTCTTGAATAGTAGCGGTAATATTCAACTGCTTCCTTACCTTCTTCCTCTGCTCCAATCTCTCTTGTTTTTCTTTTTTTCGTTCTACATCCCGCTCCTTGTTTTTCAACAGGATAGTGGGCTTATCACTAGAAATCTTTTTGTTAAGCACTTTGGCCATGGCTTCGGCCCATCCAGCGTTTCCTGTTTCTTTGGATTTCTCTGCATCATTAACTTTGGTATCTGGAGTCTTAGGTGTATCATCAACTTCGTCATCCTGCTCTTCTTCATCACTTGAAAAGCTGTCTTCTGGAACTCCTGAACTCCATTCAGATCCTAAAAGAAACAAAATATCCTTGTTACTTGCATCGTATCCATAACCAAAACACTGTATCTAAATTTCAGTAAATTAATTAAATTCAAATATACCCACCACTTTTTAAAAACTAATAGCTCACAAGAACAAGAGGAGCTTGTATCGTTTCAAGGAAACAATGAGAACGTGTGTTTTGTACAACTAAGATTATTTCTGGCAGGACAAAGATGGAATGGCGCAATCCATCTACATCTGCTTGATCTCACAGTGGGTTTTGATACTATTGATCATTATATCTTTTTGAACTGTGTCTAAGGATAAGGAGCATAGAGCACTGTTTTGTAAGCTGGCAAAGAAGTGAGAGAAGGATGTATACTCTCTCCTTAATTATTCAAGTCTGAATATACAGTATATTCAGGGAAGTTGGATTGAAAGAAGATTTGGTTTTAAAACTGAAGGCAGAAACATCAACAATCTGTATTATGCTAATGTAGCTACTTGAAGTCAAAAAATGGAAATCTTTTCTCCTAAAATCAAAGATAAAGACAACCAATCTAATGACAAAGGTACAACAATCAGGATTGACAGTGAAGAAGTATATATCTCCTGCTTTTAGGATTACCCATTAACAGTAAAGAAAAAGCAATCAACCAATATGCAATGGACTAACACTTGTTAGGAGCAGCTGTGACAGCCTTGTAAAAATATTCATGCTGCGATATCTACAAAAATCACAACCGCGCAAGCAACACTATGACACTATGAAAGTGAATGTCAGATCCCAAAGAAGCAGGATAGAGCAGAGGATGACCAGCAGCCAGGAAGATGGACTGAGTTACAGTGGCTATAAGTAAACAGTTAGAGCACCAGAAGGATCAAGTTGAAAACAGATCCTCCAGAGGAAATTTATTTATGTGATCACCAAAGCAACCACATCAGCATAATCAACCTCTCAATTTCACTACCTTATGAGGAAACATCATCAGTGTAAGGTTTAGAGGGGCGACAAGGCTGCCTTTTTGTGAAGCAATTAATACCATGAGGTCCTTTGATGCTCTGTGAGCTTGGTTGTTTTCTTGCAGACATTTCATTGCTAGGTAACATAGCTAGTATTGATTTATTTTTTATTTTATTTGGTTTGTCAATTGCTTACAAGATAATAGGTATAAGTAAAAACATAGTTATGAATACATGGATACATATAAGAAAAAAAAAAAGAAATAATAGGACAGGGATGGTGTGCTTATGCACGCCCCCTAGAGACCTCTTAGGAAAGGAGTGAGGTCAATAGTAGACAGTCCAAAGTTAAGTTTTTGGGGCTTGGGGAAGACACCACATTGACCACTAGTTAAAAATACAGTATTTCCTACAATCAAGTTTGGTGCGATTAACCTTGAGTTATGATGTTACCTAGTTGGAGAACGAAAAATCTGCAAGCAAACAAACCAAGTTCAGAGAGCAGCAAGAACCCCACAGTTCAACTTCTGAGCTACAAATATTCTTTTTCAGTGGCAATTAATATCGAGCAAAGAAATAAACTAATTCAAGAAAATGAGGCTCCTTGGTGTTCTCGAAGCTTGCTTGTTTTCTTGCAGATGCTTCATTACACAACCTAGGTAACGTCATCAGTACCTACCACCGATGTTACCAAGTTTGGCTAATGAAACGTCTGCAAGAAATCAAGCTTCGGCAGCGCAGATGACCCCTCATTTCAACCCCGAGCTACAAATATTCTTCTTTATTGGTAACCCAAGAAAAGCGAGTGACCCATAACCATGTGGGAGGCTAAGAAATGGGAAAGCGACAGACACTACATCTAATGATCTGGGAAAGAAAGCGATATTTATCAGACATCCCCATAGGGCCCCCTTTATCATACACTTCTCGTTATAAATACAGATGATTTGTCCGTCGCTTTTTAAGCAGAAACCCTTTTGTTTTCTCCACAACTGCCTCCGCCTCTCCCCGCATCGGCCATCCATTAGCCGGCTAACCAGTTACAGATCCGCTCCCCAACTTTACCACTATCGTTTTCTTCCAATTCAGCGCTGAGAACTTTCGCCTCCCCACGTTGATCTACGGCAGCCGCCTCCATCTTGCTGGTCCTGTCCCTTAAGCGATCCGGGGAAAACACGCAGCCGTCACAAAGGTTCCGGGCGGGACTATTTCTAGAGACCGGATGGGAGTGGGCCAGATTTTTACCCCGATGCGTGCATGCATTCTGATGAGAAGAACGTAATGTCGAATGGAAGTGGTCTGCTGCCAATTAGGAATGACGGGGTGATTCTGGGGGGAAACCGGGTGTTTCCGCACAATGCACCTCCACTACATTCCCTTTGGAGAGCAAGATGGGCGGCAAAGGGAAGGAAGGAAGGAAGTAGAAAGGAAAATAAGATAGGGAATGGGAAGGAAGGAAGTAAAAAATAAGGAAAATAAGGGAGGGGATAGGAAGGGGGAGGGGGTAGAAAGGAAAGAGAAGAAGGAAGGAAGGGAATGAGAAGGAAGGAAGGGATAGGAAGGAAGAGGAAAGGAAGGGAACAGAGGGGGTAGAAAGAGAAAAAGTACAAGGAGAAAGGGGAGGGAAGAGAAGGAATGGGATGAAAGGGAGGAAGTAGAAAGGAAAGAAAATTAGGGAGGGAGTGGGTAGAAAGGAAGGAGAAGAAGGAAGGGAGGAATGGGAAGGAAGGAAGGGTTAGAGAGGAAGGAAAGAAGAGGAAAGGAAGGGAATGGAGGGGGTAGAAAGGAAGGAAGAAAAAGTACAAGGAGGGAAGAAAATGAGTGGGAAGGGAGGAAGAGAGGAAGGAACCTGCAAGAAAGCAAGGCTTGATCAGTACAAGAAACATACAATACAAGAAGCTCCTTTTTGTAAAGCAGAATTTGGCAGGTCTACTGGGAGTTCATTCTGAATAAGTGGACTCAATGGGTGTGAGCCAGGCTCTGAATGGAGCTTCCCAAAATAGTGTTTCTCAACCTCAGAAACTTTACCCAAAGGTGCGTTTTAAAAAAAGAAAGCAGACTAAGAAAGTCCAGTTGTTTTTTGAAAAGGTGGATGATTGAGACTCGATAAATACAGGTAGTCCTTGACTTACAACAGTTCATTTAGCTATCGTTCAAAGTTACATGGCACTGAAAAATGTGACTTGATGACCATTTTTCAGTTACGACCTTTGCAGCATCCTCAAAGTCAGGTGATCAAAATTCAGAAGCTTGGCAACTGATTTATATTTATGACAGTTGCTCTGTCTCAAGGTCCCGTCTTTTGTGATCTGACAAGCAAAGTCAACAGAGAAGCCATTACTTAGCAATTTTGTTATTGTTCACTTAACAATTTTGTTATTCACTGTGGCAAGAAAGGTCATAAAATGAGGCAAAAACTCACTTCAATGTCTTAACAAAGTAATTGGACTCAATTATAGTCATAAGTCGAGGACTACCCGTACTTGGAAACTTTTAAGATGTGTGGACTTTATGTTTTATTTTAAGGTACATTCAATTAATCTTTCGTTTAATGGTGTGTCATCTTGTGCAATAACAATTAAAATTTACATCCATTTTCATTAGTATTCTCTATTCTTTTTTATTCTAATCTTATTGATATAAGTAGTATCTCTATTACTACAACACTCTTCTTCTTAACATGTTTAATTCTATTAATATTTTCTATATTTCACTAATCCAGAGGTCTCCAAACTCGGCAAGTTTTAAGACTATGCTGGCTAGATAATTCTGGGAGTTGAAGTCCACATGTCTTAAAGTTGCCAAGTTTGGAGACCTCTGCATTGATCTATTAGCTATTTCTAGCTTTCATATTTTTTCTCTAGCCATCGATAAAAGTTCCCATATCTTATACAATTTACTCCTCTTTAATTGGGAATGTTAGAAGCATAGAAGATGTGTGGACTTCAACTCCCAGAATTCCCCAGCCAGAATTCTGGGAGTTGAAGTCCTCAAGTCTTAAATGTCTGAGGTTGAGAATTACTTGATTTATTTATCACACAGCATTATTTTGCTTATTAATTTACCATTTTAATTGCAAATGGTTCATTTTAGAGTTAAATTAAGTTCACATTTGAGTGCTTATTTCCCATATTGTCTAGTTTTTAATAGGGGGGCGGCAAATAATTAAGTCTCGCCCTCTTCCTCCTGCATTCTTGCTCAAACGGACACCTGGAGAGCGCGTGCGCGCCTGAAAAGAAGATTCCTGGGCGCGCGCAGCCGCGCGTTCTGGAAAAGGCGGGAAAGCAGGAGGGGGCGGGGCCCATGGGGGGGGAGAAGAAAAGGAGGTGCCGCGTGCGCGACCTCTCTGATGCCCCGCCCACTCCCGATCGGGCCCGAGCACGTCCGAGCGGGAGCGGGAGGAGGCGCGCGCACCGGCAAAGCATCAACAGGGAGGGCAAGGAAAAAAAAGAGGCAGAAAGATTTAAGGACCTTCCGCCCGGGTGGTTGTCCGGAGCAAGGTATCGTTTGAACGTCGCAAGGCCGGCCGAAGGTATTAAGGCGCAAAAGCAAGCCGGCTTCGGTGGAACGAAAAGAGTGAAGGAAGAAATAAATCAATACAATAAATAAGCCGGGGAGGCGATTCGGTGGGAGGGGAAGCGGGAGAAAGAAGAGCCGGAAAGAGGGCATGCGCGGCGGTGGCGGTGGGCGAGAAGAAAGAGGGGGAGGGCGGCAAAAGCGGGGAGCGCGCGTGCCGTCAAGAGCCACGCGGGCGGGGGTTGCGCGTGCGCCGCCGCCGGCTCCCGCTCATTGGACGAGGGGGCTCCTGCCGCTGACGTAAGCAGCGATCTCGGAAAGGAGGGAGGGAGGAAAGCGGTTGAGGAGATGGTGAGGACGTGATCTAGCGATTGTCGCCCTCTAGGGGCAAGCAGCGTTAATTCCAGCTGAAACCCCATCAGTCTTATTTACATGGGAAATTTATTTTTTTCCTCCGAGCTGAAACGATGGAAAAATGCCTATGAAGAAAGCAAGAGCCAAACCATTTTGGGATACTTTCCAGGAAAACAGCATGTGGATGAACAATTCATGAGTCCCCCCAAGATTTGAGCTTATTTAGAGGAGACTTTATAGGGGTGTAGAGTAATGTTTTTCAACCTAGCAAAGGGTAAGATGCAGGGACTTCAACTCTCAGAATTCCCTAGCCAACATACTGGCTGAGGAATTCTGGGAGTTGAAGTCCAGGCATGCTGGCTGGGGAATGCCACAAGCATCCATACAATACTTTACACCAAGAGTCTCCAGACTTGGCAACTTTAAGACTTGTGGACTTCAACTCCCAGAATTGCCCAGCCAGCATGACTAGCTGAAGAATTCTGGGAGTTGAAGTCCACAGATCTTAAAATTTGCCAAGCTTGAAGACCCCTGCTTTACACATTGCCTTTTATTCTCATTCCTGTCTATGGGATTTCCTCTTCAGTAATCCATGATTTTCAGTCTTCCCCTTACTGTCCATTCTTCCTTCAGGTACAGATAGTCCTTGACTTATGACTACAATTGAGAACAAAATTTCTGTTAAGTGAGACATTTTGTTAAGTGAGTTTTGCTCCATTTTGCTGCCGTTCTTGCCACATTTGTTAAGTGAATTGCTGCAGTTGTTAAGCCAGTAACATGGTTGTTAAGTGAATCTGGCTTTCCTCATTGATTTTGCTTGTCAGAAGGTCGCAAAACGTGATAGCATGACCTCAGGATACAGCAACAGTCATAAGTATAAGTCTGTTGCCAAGCATCTAGATTTTGATCCCATGACCATGGCGATGCTGCAAGATCGTAAGTTGAAAAAATGATCATAAGTTACTATTTTCAGTGCAGCTGTAACTTTGGTCGCTAACAAATGGTTGTAAGTCGAGAACTGACATATTAGTTTTATGATGCAATCTTTGTTCATTCTGTCTTTTTCATGCATTATTGTGTTCAATCCATGTTCATTCAGCATTTCTGCACTGTGTCTCAAATCCTTGTTTTTACATCACACACTTCTTAACCACTCAATTCCCAACACATTCTAATTACTTTTATGCATTTATATATTTAAATCCTGCCTTTATTATTTTTACAAATAAGGTGGTGAATATATCCAACATCTTCTATTTTCCTCTACAACAGTCCCCCTATTTCCTCCACAACAACAACCCTGTGAAGTGGGCTAGGCTGACAGTGATTGGCCCAAGTTCACGCAGCTGGCTTTCATGGCTAAGGCAAGACTTAAAACTTACAATCTCTTGCTTTTTAGTCTGGTGCCTTAAACCACTAGATCAGGGGTGTCAAACTGGCGGCCCATGGGCCAGATGTGTCACGTGCAGGCCACGCCCACCCCAGTTCCGTGAATGGGAAAAACATCACGAAATGTCACGTGACGGCAACGTGATGCGTTGAGTTTGACATGCATGCTCTAGATTATATTTCTTGCGATATACCCAACTCCGTGTAACTGCAGTCTTGAATTAAGCTATTTTTGCTTCTTTGGGCAAATACAGGTAATCCTCGGGTTATGACTGTAAATGAGTTCACAATTACAGTTCTAAGTTGTGATTGTTAAGCAAATCCCATGACCACCCCTGGTTTTTTAATGACCTTTTTTTTGTGGTAGTGAACTGAATGCCACAGTTGTTAAATAAAAGCATTTTAATTAGGGGTGGGTTTTTTTTTCCAGCTGAAAACCATAAATAAATACCAGTTTCTGGCAAAATAATAATAATAATGCCAAAATAGTTAAGTGACCAGTCCTAAATGAGGCCCATTTGCCAAATGCTCAAAATCCAATCACATGACTGGGGGAGGGGGGCAACTTTGAAACTTTGAAACTAGTTTTGGGAATGTCTGTTATAACTTTAAACGGCCGCTAAGTGACTAGGCATACGTATCAAGGACTACCTGTAATCTTTCCTTGCAAACTCACATTCTAACTTTCTATCAGTATTTGCACATCTTAAAATTTCCCCATACATTTTCTCATTCTACCAAAGTACAGGTAGTCCTCATTTAATGACTGTGATTTAGACTAAATGGCGCAGATGTCAAGAATAAGATCACATGACCACGCCAGTAAATGACAGCAGTTCTGGCTTTTCTGATTGGTGTCATTAAGCGACTTGCACCATGATTCAGTGCGAACCACGGGGTTGCCATTTGTAGCCTTCTGCCAGCGTCCTCATTGACTGCTTGTTGGAAACCAGCAACTGAGGTCGCAAATGGCGATCGCATGACTGCAGGATGATGTAATGTCATAACTGACCATTGCCCAAGGCCTGGATCATGTGATCATGGAGATGCTGCAACAACTGCAACTACAAGGACAAATTACAAGTATCACTCTTTCAGCACCATCGTAAGTTTCGACTGTTGCTAAATGAATGGTCATTAAGTGAAGACTACCTTTACTCAAATTAATCCATTTGCTAACCCCTAAAATGAGTCCTCTTTACTCCGTGGAGCCAGTTCCCTTGAATCCTATTTTTTTTTTTGAAACTACAGAAAGTTACCCTTCATACTACACACCAATGATTCATTTTGAAAAATTATGATTTACAAGGTTAGAGTTAGGCAGAATTTGTTTCACCTGTATCTAATGGGGAAGAACTCAGGAAACTTCCCAGCGCTTAGAACTTGCTAGTTATGTGGGTTTTTTCCCTCCTTTATTGCAGTGGCTGAGTGTCCATAAAGCATCATTCAAAAGAAGGCAATAACCTTCGCAACTTAGAAAGGATCATGGATCACCTGGCTTCATTCAGCAGTAAGTAAGGTTCACTCTGAAATTGCAAAAAAACCAAAACCAAACCACCTCTTTACAAGCAAGAATGCTGTTTAACCTTGGTTAAATAAGTTAAATTAGAGCATTTAGCATTAGACTCTATGGCTTGGTGAAGTTAGAACATGCCTCCTATATGAAGCACGATATCCTTATATTGTGTAATGATTTTAAGCAGTAGAGGTTGTGAGTTTTCCGTCTCTGGAAATTTTAAGAGGCCAAGGCTGGAATAATTGTCCAAATGGAATAGCCCTTGGTGGGGTCCCTTCCAATTCTGCCATTCTGCGGCTCAAAGGCATTTGCCATTTTTTTAATACACCAGAGAGAGGTTAAAATTTGTAGTTACCGACCAAGAAATTAAAGGGGACTAGTATGGATCTATTTCGAGCTATTTAGCTCTCATCAGCTAGTCATACCCTTCTGGGATTCAAACCCAGGCTTGCTTATATACTAGGTAGATGTATTAACCTCTAAGCCACCGGTTCTCCTAGTTTTGTTGGCTATACCACGGGACAGATTTAAATGTTTTTTTTATTAGGGCAACCTGGTCTACCCAAATATGGATATGGCTAGCTGATGAGAGCTAAATAGCTTGAAATAATCTAGTCTCCCTTTATTTCTTTGTCGGTAAATATAAAATTTGACACAAAACTAGTTTATTGTGAAAGCAACTGCCTACGAAGGCTCCTGGATTGGGGCTGAAAGGCAGAATCAGTGTGCTACATCCCATATTTGGGTAGACCAGGTTGCCCTGATTAAAAAAAATACTTCATCAGAGAGATGGCTCTGTTCTTCTGCTTTCTGTAAAAAGGGGCAGAGATTAGACAATTTAGAACAGGGGTTTAACAGATTCCAACAGATAATCAGAGTTGGAAGGGACCTCGTAGGTCATCTAGTCCAACCCCCCGCCCAAGCGGGAGACCCTACACCATTTCTGACAAATGGCAGTCCAGTCTCTTCATGAAAGTCTCAAGTGATGAAGGTCCCACAACCTCCGAGGGCAGCTTCTGTTCCATTGGTTGATTGTTCTCACTGTCAGAAAGTTTCTCCTTATTTCCAGGTTAAATCTCTCCTTGTTCAGTCCAACCATGTTAAGACCTGTGGACTTCAACTCCCAGAATTCCCCAGTACAGAAAAGATATGAATGTAGCTCTCCCTTAAATAGTAGGACGATTAACCTGTTGTAGCAAAAACTACTAAGAGTATTATGGCAACTTAACAACTAAACATATTTTATTACAATACAGGTAGTCCTTGACTTATGACCAGAATTGAGCCCTAAATTTCTGTTGTTAAGTGAGACATAAGTCATAAATAGGAACCAGTTGTCAAGCATCCAAATATAAATCACAGGATCATAGGGATGCAACAGTCGTAAGTGTAAAAAATGGTCATAAGTCACTTTTTTCAGAACCGTTCTAACTTCAGACGGTCACTAAACAAACTGCTGTAAGTCAAGGACTACCTGTATGTGTTTCCTTTCTTCCCCAGTAAAACAGGTATTGGTTTAGGGCAGGGGTGTCAAAACTCAAGGCCTGTGGGGCCGGATGCAGCCTGCTGCATGCTTAGATCTGGCCTGTGGGGCCTCCCTGGAAACAGCGAAGGACCCGCTTGCGTTGCCTCTGCCAGCAAAAACAGAGCAGAGCTCCGTTTTTGCTGGCAGAGGGCTATCAAAACAAACCCAAAACAAACCAAAAGGATAAATGTTTCCTCTTTTGCATTTGAGCATGCAAGAAGGGCAGGAAAGGGAAAGAGGAAAGACATAGAAAAAGAAGGGAAGATAGCAAGGAAGGAAAAAGGAGGAAAAAGGAGAAGGAAGAAGGAAGGGGAAGGAAGAAGGAAGGGGGAAAAAAAGGAAGGAAGGAAGGAAGATTATCATGAAAGTGAAGGAGGGTCTCAGGGAAGTCTCCTGCCTTAGCACTTATCCACCACAGGTGCCCCTGACACGAGTCATGTGTCATGCCCACCATGGCCACGCCCTACCATGGCCACACCACCCCCAGCCCTCCAAGGCCAAACACAACCTTGATGCAGCCCTCAATGGAAATCAAGTTTGACACCCCTGGCTTAGGGTGATTGTAGTTGGCCTGCAAACATTTGTATAACCACTAGATGGCAGTAAAGATGCTTGGTTGACAAAGAGCTCCCCTGTTTGTCAGCATTCCCTTCCAGGGCTAGGAGCAAATACAAGAGTTGAGTCACAGCAAGGAATGAAGGGGTTAGGACGGCCTTTGTGATGTGTACCTTAACCCTAGGTGGCAGGAGGGTACAAAATGTCCTCTTCCTCCTCCTTCCAAAACTTTTTCTTCTCTGAAAGTTGCCATTTTCTAACAGAGCAATTTTAAAGGGAGAATCCAAGGTCAAGTTTCTAAGGGAGAATTCTAATCTGGCCATGACTAAGGACAAAGGCTTTTCTGGTCTTGTTCCATGTGCTAATCAACACAAGGACACCAAATACTTGTCATTCATGACTGGTGTCCCGAATGGCCACTTAACTGGTTAAAAACACCAATTATTTCTTGCATTTCTTAGTGGTTTTATTTCCGCTTTTGGTATTGATAAACATGGACTAGCCTATTCAAGTGGAAGCTTCACCCACTATCCTAGTGCTGGTTCATGATGCTATCAACCCAGTGACAATTAAAGGTGCCAGCAGGCTCGTTCTTCCTTGCTTAAGTAAAGACATCATGAGATCACTTTAGTGTGAATGTCACTCTGCGCACACAAGCAAATGGATTTTGCTACATCCAGTTGAATGGGTGAGACATGCCTCATTGACACAGCCCATCCATGACTCACGATCACAGTTGGGCCCAGAATTCACATGGTTGTTCAGTGAGTCATGCCCCGTTTTATGATCTTTTTGCCACGGTTTTTAAGCAAATCGAGAGCTGGGGTGGTGCAGTGGTTAGAATGCAGTACTGCAGGCTACTTCTGCTGGCTGCCAGAAGTTCGACAGTTCTAATCTCACCTGGCTCAAGGTTGTCTCAAGCCTTCCATCCTTCCGAGGTGGGTCAAATGAGGACCCAGCTTGTTGGAGGAAATATGCTGACTCTATAAACTGCTAAGAGAGAGGGGTTTTTCCAGCCCTGTGAAGCAGTACATAAGTCTAAGTGCTATTGCTAAGTGCTGAATCATCGTAGTAAAGTGAATCACACAGCTGTAAAGTAAATCAAGCTTCCCTCAAAGACTTTGCTTGTCAAAAGATAGCTGGAAAGGTCACAGGTGGGAATCACTGGACCCCAGGGCTCTGCAATTATCGTGAATACATGCCAAGCACTTCAATTTTCATCCCATGACTGTGAGGATGCTGTGTTGTTTGTAAGTGTGAGCAATAGTTGTAACTCACTTTTTTCGGTGGCATTGTAACTTCAAACTATCACTACGTACAGGGATTCCCCCCCCAAATCTGTGGACTGCTGCCCACTAGTGGGCCATGAGGGGTTTGCAATTGGGCCATGGAAATGGCCAGCGAGTGCGCACGCATAAACTCACTTGCGCATGTGCATGCATGCTCCCTTTGTGTGAACGGCAGGCACACGTGCATGCAGCTCAAGGAAATGGAGCTGCAGGGATGCTTGCCAGCCGCTTGCATGAATCATCCCCTCCCTCCCCCCTCTTCCCACCAGTCCGCAAAGCCGGAAACATTGGGGAACTCTGACTAAACAGAAAAGTCGAGAACTACCTGTTCATTCAATTCTGAGTGTGTGTAATTATGAAATAAGAGATTGTAGAATTGTGGCTTCTTGTAAGGACGATTGATCTCAATCAGCATCCAGTGTCAGCCCTGGAGCCATTTTTCCTGGTCCCTGGCATCCCACAGCGGAGGCGGAGCGAGCTGTGGGAAAGGGAAGGGGGAGGTACAGGGATGGGATTCTACTGGTTTGCGCGAACCGGAAGTTAAGTTTGCATCTGGTTCGCCAAACCGGAATTTGAACCACCCCGCCCCTCCCAGGAGTCTTCATGTGGTCCATTTTTGATGCAGGTAAGTGTAGGGTCCGCGCAGAGGCTCTGGGAGGAGGGAAAATGGGCCTACTGGAAATCTGGAAACGGACCTGTTTCCGGCTTCCGGTGGGCCTCCAGAGCCCGGGGGAGGCCGTTTTTGCCCTCCCAGAGGCCTGGGGGAGGCCTCCAGACCCTTGGGAAGACGAAAAACAGTCCTCCCGGATGTTCCAGTAGGCCACACCCTCCCAGCAACCGGGCAGCGAACCAGTTGCTGGGATTTTTGATTCCCGCCCCTGGGAAGGTAGAGGTAGCAAAGGCTTTGTAACCAAAATAAAATTCTTCCCTCTGAGGACTAAGAACGTTCCTACCAGGTGTGAGGAGATGGGGTGCGAGTCCAGGTGAAATTTGGACTGTGACCTGATTGGGCCATGGGATGGCCTGCCTGGGCAGGAGGAGGAAAAATGTATTTTTAACTAGGGGGAAACCTGAGGGACTTTAGAGCCTGATTCTCCCCAGATGTGCCTATATGACATACCTAATAAATCCGTGCTTTGAGGGAATATGCCTGCCTCGGAGTTTTGATTCTGTTGCGGGTGTTACTTGGGGCCCTGACATCCAGGTTTCACACATACCCAATGTTCTGCTGATAAGAAGTTGGCTAAGAGAAGCCAAGGTAAAGGTTCCCCTCGCACATACGTGCTAGTCGTTTCCGGCTCTAGGGGGCGGTGCTCATCTCCACTACAAAGCCAAGCAGCCAGCGCTGTCCGAAGACGTCTCCGTGGTCCTATGGCTGGCATGACTAAACGCTGAAGGCACACGGAATGCTGTTCCCTTCCCACCAAAATGGTCCCTATTTTTCTACTTGCATTTTTTAATGTGCTTTTGAACTGCTAAAGGTCGGCAGGAGCTGGGACGAGTAATGGGAGCTCACTCCGTTATGCAGCGCTAGGGGTTTGAACTGCTGATCTGCCAACCTTTCTGAGAGAAGACTACCGTACATTTATAAAATTCATTGTAGTTTTTGCTGTTTCTCAGGTGACCCTTTTGACAAGCCACCATGCCGAGGGTGTTCCTCTTACCTTGCGGAACCTTACATCAAATGTGCAGAATGCAGTCCGCCTCCTTTTCTGCTATGCTTGCAGGTAAATTGTATTTACAAGGAGTGAGGGAAGAGAAATGCAAGGACGATCTCTTGGCTGCTGGGCCTGATCTTTATTCCATCTTTGGACGGGCCAAGCGAAAACGGACAGGAATTCTCTTCTTTCTTCCAGAAGAAGAAGAATTCCTTGTCAGTTTTGGACATTGATTATGTTCAACTCGTTTGAAAGGGTTACGCCCAGGGGTGAGCTTCAAAAATATCAGCAACTGTTTCTCTGCCTGGTTGCTGGGTGGGCGTGGCCTAGTCGGGCTCCTGCACCACGTCAAGGGGAGCGTTTTTGCCCTTCCCGGGCTCTGTAGGTTTTCCTAGAGCCTCTGGGAGGATGAAACCGACTTCCCTGGGCTCCGGAGGCTCACTGGAGGCTGGAAACAGGCCCATTTCCGGCCTTCCAGGAGGCCCGTTTTTTTCACCCTCCCCAGACTCCGGAAGCTTTCCTGGAGCCTCTGGGAGGGTGAAAACAGCCTCACCCAGGCTCTGGAGGCCGATAATGGGCCCGTTTCTGGTCTTCCGGAACTTCCGGGAGGCCTGTTTTTCGCCCTCCTCAGGCTCCAGAGGCTTTCCTGGAGCCTTTGGGAAGGTGAAAAGGGCCTCCCCCGGGGTCCAGACGCCCTCTGGAGGCCGGAAATGGGACCATTTCCAGCCTTTCAGAACCTTCAGGAGGCCCATTTTTTACCCTCTTCGAGCCTCCATGCGGGCCCTGCACTTACCTGGCATCCAAATGGGCCACATGGAGACTCCTGGGAGGGGCGGGTTGGGGTGGGTGGGGCCAGCCAGGGGTGGGATTTGCTGGTTCAGTGAACCGACCATAAAACTAGCTACAGGTTCATCCGAACCAGGGAGAAGCCCACCCCTGGTTACCTCCCCCCCCCCCCAAAAAAAAGCCTTATTCTGGGTGTGTGATTTCTTGATGTTTTTATGAAGCCATGCCAGCACAAGGGAAACGTCTGCTGGAAATGTGACAACCATAATAGGCCCCTTTTGCTTGCGATGAAGTGGTATTGGTGGGAAATGGGGGCAGGGCTCCCGAATTTTGTGATTCCTCAAAACCGCTTTCTGTATCAAGAACGAACCTTTTTTTTCCCAGTGCTTCACAAGAGGATTTGAATATAAGAAGCATCAGAGTGACCATTCCTATGAAATAATGGTAAATATACAGTTCTCTAATTCATCTGTCTTGCCTTCATCAGTTGTTGTCGTCCATCTTTTTTTTTATTCATTAAATTTTTATTCCGGCTTTTAATAGTTTACAAGGTAGCTGAAGTCAGTGAACATATTCAGCGCTCCTTCCTCCTCCTATTTTCCCCATAACAACAACCCTGTGAGGTGGGTTGGGCTGAGAGTGACCAGCCCAAAGTCACCTAGCTGGCTTTCATGCCTAAAGGCAGGATTAGAACTCACGGCCTCCTGGCAATTGGCCTAAAATTGCCCGGCGGGCTTTCATGCCTAAGGCAGAACTGGAACTCATAGTCTCCTGGTTTTAGGCCAGCACCTTTAATCTGTATACCAAACTGCCTCTCTCTTTATGGGATATGTCCTATATCAATACATGTGTGGGGAAGTTTTATGCTTAAGTCTACCCTTTTAAATGATTATTTCACTCACCGAAAGTATGGGAATAAATAAGATGTCAGTACCAAAAAACACGGGAAAGGAATTTTCAAAGTGTTTTTATTTATTTATTGTTTATTTGTTAAATAAATACTAGCTGGAAGTGGCTGCTGGGTTAATGGCAGACTCCACCTCGCCTCCTCCCCTTGTTCTCTACTCTCCATCCTTCCATCTTTTTCAGTTACCATATTGATACATTCTCATTATGTTCTTTTTATTGGTCTATTATCTTCTGTTCTGGGAAAACTCCTTTCATTTCTTCCTCTTTATTGTTGTAAGCTGCCTAAAGTAGTCCCACAGTGAGATAGGCAGCAAATAAATTTAACAAATAAAATAAAAATTCTTTTGGAGGATTCTCAAATAAAATGGATCATCTCATAAGCCTCCAACTAATCTTATGTGCCTTGCTCTTCCCAGAGAGAAAAAAACATGCTTCTTAATTCGACAGTTTGAAACTGAATTTCAGTAGTTTAATTTAGCAAGAACCACCAAGAAAAAGCTGGGAAAATGTAGGCTGTCCACATCCAATCTTAGAAGATAATAAACTTGTAATAAGCCTGTTTTTTTTCTCCCAACTGGGTGGGCTCCAGATACTGTTAATTTCAACCTATTTCCAAAACCCCCACTTGATGTGTCCAGTTGGGAGACTCTGAACAAAATGTTACTTATGTAATACTTTTGTTCAGGTAGAGTTTGAATCAGAAAATACCTTTGTTAATAATTTGTCATGCAGAGCAATTAACATTTTCCAACCCATTAACACTTCTAAAGCAAGTTTTGCTTTATTTTATTTTAATCAGCCATGCCACGTTCCCTCTAGGATTAGCTGGTCGACAGCTAAATTAGCAAGAAATTCTTTGTTACATTCTGTAACAATGCTTCATAACTAACAATAATTACAGCCTGAGTAATGTTTACTTTGTGTGGCATAATTATTTAAAATTCCTGTGGGGTGCTGCTGGAACTCTTAAAATGTCAGTATGTAAGTAGCAGTTTGCCTCAGTGGCAAAATTACTCATTTGGACTATTCTGCATATTAAATCTGTTAGTCAGCAATGGACGTTTGTAAGCTCATTATCAGATTTTTTAGGGGCACATATGGGTACCATTCTCTATGCCTGCAGGCATGAACCAAAATGAAATTCACCAATTCCCGCTGGAACAAACTCAAAACTAAATTGAATATAAAGCAATTTAACAGAATAGCAGAGCTGGAAGGGACCTTGGAGGTTTTCTAGTCCAGCCCCTTGCTCAAGCAGGAAACTCTATGTCATTTTAGTGGCTGTCCAGTCTCTTCTTCAAATTCTCTAGTGATGAAGCATCCACAACTTCTGAAGTTACTTGTTCTAACTGCCAGGAAATTTCTCCTGAGTTCCAGGTTGCTTCTCTCCTTGATTAGTTTCCATCCATTGCTGCTTGTTTTGTCTTCAGGTTCTTTGGAGAATAGCTTGACCCCTGAAATATTGGAACACTGTTATCATGTCACCCCTAGTCCTTCTTTTCACTAGACTAGGCATACCCAATTCCTATAATCGTTCTTCACATGTTTAGTCTCTTGTACTTGTATTTGTATTCTTGTGATTATAATCTTAAAATTATGTCAATAATATCACAGCAAATCATTCAACCACTTCATCTAAGCACATTGAACTTTGTACTTAATATACTAATGTATGTTGTAGACTTGCATATTCATTTTTTAAGCTTGTATAAAGCGGGAAGTGGCAAGAGAATTCTTTTTTAAAAAAATATATATTGGTTTTTAAAACAAACATAAACCAAGAAAACATAAAAACATCAAATCATCTTCCATATATGTCCATACAGTGTGCCGGTTGGTTTACAAATGGTTTTGTGCTTCCATTTCGTAATCTTCAATTACAATTACATTGTATATAATCTCGTATTTTCAATCAAAAATTAAATATATTAATATCATTATTAATCAATCATTTGACTATATTTTTATTCATTCATGTTTTACAAAATAATCATATTTTACTTAATTTGTTTTATGACAGTTCAAATTATCATCCCAAATCTATCCTAGAATCATTTTGTAAATATAATACATCTTTATATATTTATTATTTTCTAAAAGTCTACATATTTCATTACTATATTTTATTGTCTAACCATTGATAGAATAGATCCCAAATTTTATAAAATTGTTTATCATCTTGTTCTCTAATTTCAAATGTCAATCTACTCATTTCAGCACATTCCAATATTTTCTTAATGATTTCCTCCTGTGATGGTGTTTTCTCATTTTTCCAGTTTTTAGCAAATACAATCCTAGCCGCTGTTAACACATTTACAATCAGGTATTTCAAGTCTTTACTATATATTTCAGGTAAAATTCCCAATAAAAATATCTCTGGTTTCAAATCTATATGTTTTTTTGTCATTTTTTCCAACCACGTGTGGATTTTAGTCCAGTATTTTTTGGCATCTGCACAAGTCCACCACATATGGTAATATGAGCCAGACGTCTGATGACATTTCCAACATTTTTCGGATTTATTCTTGAACATTCTTGCTAATCTTGCCAGGGGAAAATGCCACCTGTAAAACATCTTATACAAATTTTCTTTATATGCTGTTGACATTGTCATTTTATAATTTTGAGACCACAATTTTTGCCATTTCTCTAAATCAATCCCATATCCAAAATTCTTCCCTCAAGCAATCATAGTTTCTTTAACTTGTTCTTCTTCTAGTTTAATTTCTAATAAATATCCATACAATTTTTTAATCATCTTTTCATCAGTACCTGTCAAAATCTTATCTAAGTTAGTCAGTTTATCATAGAAACCTTCTGTTTTAGAATCTTTATCATACCTTGAATTTATTTGAGCATATGAAAACCAATTCATCTTTATACCTTGTTCCTCTAGTTTTTGTATAGATTTATGTTCACCCTTTTCATTCAATATTTCACCATATCTAACTGTTTGTTCCTTTTTGTATATTATAAGAAAATGCTTCAATAGTCTAGTTGGCAGTGTTACAAAGTTTCTTTTGCTTTCACTTTCCCCCTCCTTTTTCAAGCAAAATATAATAAGAATTAATTAAAAAATGAAAAAGATATTTAAAAAATATAACTAAACGGGAGTCTCTAGCCTAAAATATTATAAAATCAAAAAGGAGAAAAAGAAGAGATGAAAGAAGAGAAAAAAACCAGTCCGGTTTCAAAATATAAGATGATGCGTAGAAAATCCAGCAATTAGAAAAAAAAATAAACAAAATTATTACTTTGACATTCCTGTTTAACATCGCCTCTTAATCACTTCTGTCAAAACTTTTACAGATTCTTTCTTTTCCTTAGTGTGTCCTTTCAAATCTTAGAATAAAGAAAAAGTTCTCACCAATCCAGCACACTCTCTCTTTCCGTTCTCTTTCGTTTCAGAGCTGTCCCAACTTCAGCAGCTTTAATGGCTGCCTCTTTGCCGCTGGCAAAAAGAGCTTCTCCTGGATCTACCAGGGGCTTTGCGGTATCCCTGGGATAGACAGAGTGTGCTCTTTGCATTCACCGTCTCTTCAGGACGGTTTAGATCCAATTGGACCGTCCAGGAGCAAAGATATCGGCAGCGAACTCAGACCTCCAAGATCGCATGCCGTATCGTCGTGACGCCAGCTCCGCCCCCTCAGCTGAGAATTCTTTCTTGAATAGTATACTTTATTTTTATTCAAATTCACCAATTGGAGCCGAGTACACAAAATACAGAATTAAACTTCATGGTACCTTTGAGAATTTTTTAAAGCCCTTCAACTAAACCAAAATTCCATCTCCTGGTCTTTTATTTATTTCATTTTAGGAGCCTGGTTTAAGTGAGAGGAAGCCCTCCAATTCCTTTTGTTAAACAGCGTTTCGGAAACCCTATAAAAGTTGTAATCACCCCCTTTTCTCTCACTAGAAATTGCTCAGTGCTATATCCCGAGATGATGGTTTGACCTTTGGTGATCCAAATGCAGGAAGAGAGTAAGAGCCATAACATTAAAGGCGTGAGATTTTTTTTTTAAAAAAAACGTTTTCTTATAGTGTGTGGAGGAGTGTCCTGATCTAGTATCGGCAGTTGGTTCTGAAGACTCGGTTGTTTACTGAAATGGTTGCTAAGTGAACAGAGAGAGAGAAAGTTCTCTCAGAGACAGTTAAAGTTCTCTCTCCTAGAGTGCCCTGTGATTGACCCCTTTCCTCCTCACTTTTTTGCCCCTTGGCAGCATAGAGAGATTGTTGTGCCATGGGCAAACGAACAAACCCAGCTCTCTAAGCTTAATTACTTGATTACAAGTCTGTAGAGATTTTCAGTCATCCAGGTCATGGTTGTCCCAAAGATGCTTTTTCAAGAGGCAACTGGACTTTCTTCGTTTTTCTTTGAAGACGTTTCACTTCTCATCCAAGAAGCTTCTTCATCTCTGACTGGATGGTGGGGAATGGAAGGATTTACATTCCTTGCAGGCAGCTAGTCATTTGCATCCTTTTTTCAGCCACCCTCTAAAAGGATGCAAATGACCAACTCTCTGCAAGGAATATAAATCCTTCCATTCCCCACCATCCAGTCAGAGCTGAAGAAGTTTCTTGGATGAGAAGCAAAATGTCTTCCAAAAAAAAAAAAAGTTCAGTTGTCTCCTGAAAAAGCACCTGTGTGACTACTTGATTAGAAGTCCCCCAGGATGACAGCTTCTTCCGGAAACTGACCAGACCTTTAATCAGTTTCCCACTGAAGGCTTTTGTTGTGGTACAGTAAATGCAGACATTGGTTGTAAAATGATTTTTGTTACTGTTCATTACTCCCATATTTGCAAATGGCCACTGTTCAACACAATTGTTAAATAGGAATTACCTGTGTGTATATGTGTTTGTATGTGTATAGAGAGGGAGAATGAGATCTTACATACATGCACAACACACACACACACACCACATACATACTTATTTGTGTCTGTGTGTGAAGAATCAAACCTTGTGAAGTAGATAAGTGTCATAAATTCTCATGACATCTCACAGGTTTTGGGACATTAAAATGATTTAAGTGTTTTCCATTTCCATCACTATGACACTGCACTTTGAAAATACATCTTTGGGCTGGAAGGGCCTGTCCCACAGCTGAACATGCTCTGCTTAATCCCTCCATTTAAAAATATGTAAAATAGATCAAAACTTTTTTTTCTCTGTGTTATAATGTTTGGAATTCCAGGGTTCATCTTTGTGGGAATAAGTGGGATATTTCTGCAACTAGAACTCCAACATCTGGTAACAACTTATGTTTAGGCCTTTAGTTTACTTTTTTTATTCTTATTTAATAAGAAAACTTTTATGATTGTGCAATTCACTCACGGCGAGTCCGGGCTACTTATAGAAATAAAAACCCAAATACAAAACCCAATATTTGGATTGCCTAAGAGAGATTGCCAATAGTTGCCGGAAAGAGATTGGAATTCAAGGAATTATTGCCAGGAAATAAACCTTTTTCATTTATCTGTCTCTGTCTTAACTATTGGATAACAATTTGTCTGAAATGCTATAGGGTTTCCTGCCTAAGCAGGCGGTTAACAGATAATGGATAACAGATAATCAGAGTTGGAAGGGACCTTGTAGGTCATCTAGTCCAACCCCCCATCCAAGCGGGAGACCCTACACCATTTCTGACAGATGGCAGTCCAATCTCTTCTTGAAAGCCTCCAGTGATGAAGCTCCCACAACTTCTGAGGGCAACTTCTGTTCCATTGGTTGATTGTTCTCACTGTCAGAAAGTTTCTCCTTATTTCCAGGTTAAATCTCTCCTTGTTCAGTCTCCATCCATTATTCCTTGTCTGGCCTACAGGCGCTTTGGAAAATAACTTGACCCCTTCCTTTCTGTGGCATCCCCTCAAATATTGGAAGACCACTATCATGTCTCCCCTGGTCCTTCTCTTCCCTAGACTACCCAAGCCCAGTTCCTCCAACCATTCGTTGTATGTTTTAGCCCCCAGTCCCCTAATCATCCCGGTTGCTCTTCTCTGTACTTTTTCTAGAGTCTCAACATCACTTTTATAATGTGGTGAACAAAACTGGATGCAGTACTTTATGTGTAGTCTTACTAAGGCTTTATAGAGTGGTATTAGTACTTCCCTTGATCTTGATTGTATCCCTCTGTTAATACAATTTAGGATTGCATTGGCTTTTTTGGCTGTTCCTGCACACTGGTGGCTCATATTTAGCTGGTTGTCCACTAAGACTCCAAGAAACCTCTCATAGTTACTGCTCTTGAGCCTGGTTTCACCCAGTCTATATGTGTACTGTTGGTCTTTCTTGCCTAAGTGTAGGACTTTACTTTTCTCTACATTGAATTTCATTTTGTTAGATACGGCCCAGTGTTCTAGTCTGTCAAGATCCATCTGGATCTTAAGCCTGTCTTCTTGGGTGTTAGCTATTCCTGCCAGCTTAGTATCATCTGATACTGGGTTGGACTAGAAGACCTCCAAGGTCCCTTCCAATTCTGTTGTACTGTTCTATTCTGTTCTATTCCATTCCATATTTCTCTTCTCTTCTCTTCTCTTCTCTTCTCTTCTCTTCTCTTCTCTTCTCTTCTCTTCTC